GCACGAGGACTGAAGAAGCCACTCGGGGCGAAACTTTTCTTCTAATAAACGTCCTGAACCGTATATAAGTGACTTTATCCACATCTTGGTATCACCATTTTTCAAGGATGGTGATGTCAGACATACCTCGGTGCTCTTGTTGGCCAGCATCAGCTTGAGAGCTGGAAGGCCTTCTGGGTACATGACAGCATACATAAGAGCTGATTTAGATTCCAATGTCCTGGCGTTCACATCGATATCAGGGCGCGCCAGTAACAACATCGCCAGATCGTAATCACCGTCTGCCAGCGCTCGGATGAGAGGCGTCTTGCCCTCGGCGTCAGGGATGTTGATATCGATGTCTTTGCGGTCGAGGAGTGCTTCAACAGCGGGTCTGGAGCCTCGTCGTACTGCGTGCATCAGAGCAGAAGCCCTAAATTCATCTGTTAGATTAACATAAATGTTCTTGCGGGTACACAAGAGCCCCACAACTCCTCCATGGTTATGACGCGCGGCCAACAGCAGGGCAGACATGCCTTTCTCATTGGATTTGATATTAGGATCAACATCTGGGTGGGAAAACAAAAGACAAACAATGTCCTCTCGACCCATCATGCAAGCGTATATGAGAGCTGTCATCCCTTCGTTGTCTCGTTGATTCACGTCAGTGATGGAATGTTCCATCAAGAGTTTAACACAGTCAAGGTGACCATTCTTTGCTGCTAGTATGAGAGGAGTGCAGCCCTGTACATTGCGACGGTTGACACCAATCATGGGGTGTTGAAGAAGCTTGAGTGTCACCACACTGTTGCCCTGATGACCAGCAGCCACGTGAAGTGCTGTTTCTCCACAGTCGTCTTCAAGGTTAATATTTGTGTTTTTGTATCCAATCAAAAGCTCAGCTACTTCATTATGTCCTGCACGGACGGCAAATAACAAGGCACTGCATTTATCAGTAGCAGTGAGGTTGACATCGATGGACTGATGTCGTAAGAGAGCGTTAGTGATCTCAAACATACCAGCGATTGCGGCGATAGTAAGCGCAGTGTGATCATCATCATCTCTCTGGTTTACGCTCACTTCTGGACATTTTAAAAGAGTGATCAGAGCACGAACCTGACCGTATTCTGCGGCAATCATGAGAGCCGTGCGGCCCCGCCAGTCGACGCAATTGATCTTGACGTTCTCGTGCATTAGTAACAGTTGAATAATATCTGCATGACCATTCCTGGCTGCTGCCATCAGAGGTGTATGGCCGTGCTCGTCCCTTTCGTTGACATCCAGTCCGGGCACCAGCAAAAATACCTTCACAACTTCAGTCTGCCCACTGGCCACCGACCAAGCAAATGATGTTTTGCCGGTCTTTTGCCGCCAGCTGATGTATGGCCCGTTCTCCAGCAACTTAACAACGTCCCCGATGTTATCGACCTGTATATCACTGACGGGATCATTGTAACGCCTGTTCATTCTGGAAGGAGTGTGGAACGAGGCATCTGAGTCATCTGCACTGTCAACAGATGCTGCTGACGACAGTTGTCCATACCTCGTCAACAACTGTTCTATCTCTTTATTGTATTCCTGTTTCGCCCAAATGAGAGCAGTGCGCCCCTTTTTATCCTGATCTTCTATGTTGTTGCGAGTATCCCTCAGTAAGGTCTTCACTGAGAGTAGCTGATTACAGCGGGCTGCCCACATCATGGGTGTCAGTCCATCATCATCTGGAATGTTGGGCTGCAGTGTCTGGTATTGTTGCAGCAGTTCCATAACGTGCACGGATCCATTTTTGGCCGACCATGCCAGGGCGGTCATGCCTTTATCGTCTGTCTCATTGATATCCACTTCAGGATGAGCTAACAACCTCTGAACGATCGTTCGCTGGCCACTACGAGCGGCTAAGAGGAAAGCTGTGAAGCCATTTTTGGACTTAGTAGAAATGTTGATCTTGCGGTGGGACAAGAGCGCAGCCATAACTTCTTCATGTCCTCCACTTGCTGCCATCATTGCCGGAGTATATCCTTCCAAGTCACAGAGATTGGGGTCAATACTTGGATGGTTTAAGAGGATGTAGGCGCAGTCTGCATGACCGGAGCGCGACGCAAATATGAGCGCTGTCCGTCCCTGACCGTCTTGCATGTTGACGTCGGTGTCATGGCACTTACATAACATATTGACGATTGGCGAATGACCGTGTTCAGCCGCGCGCATCAGAGGCGTCACCTTATCTTTCGTACTAACGTTGACGTCGGTAGCGTCTTCGTGGAGTAAGATGTTGGCTACCTCGACGTGGCCAGTCTCCGCCGCCATCAGTAGTGGAGAACGACCAATTTTATCCTTCCTGGAGAGGTTTGCTCCTCCTTTCACCAGCAGCTCTGTCGTCTCTACTTGCCCGACGGACACGGCCCACATGAGTGCATCCATACCATCTTTGTCTACCGTGTCTAAACTAGCATTTTCATCCAGTAGAACCGTAACACAGGCGACGCTGCCGCCTGCTGCCGCCCACAGCAGGGCTGTGGAGCCGTCAGGATGATGCTTGTCCAGTGTGGTGCGGTAGGAGAAGATCAGCTGCCTCACGACGCCCTCATGACCGAAGACTGAGGCCTTCATGAGAGCAGTCTCGCCAGCATTGTTAGCCAGGTCTGGTTCAGTGTCTGGGTGAACCATGAAGAGCCGCACCACGCCCGTGTGACCTCCGTGTGACGCCCACACCAGTGCTGACCAGCCGTCGTTATCCTGCAAGTAATACCTTTTCAGTTACATCTAAGCAAGTACAATCAAGTCTAGTGTCTCGCACATAGTACCGGAGGATCGAACCTCCACCACTCCTGCTTCACTTACATTTCTTGATATAATTCACTTTAAGCGCTAAACTCATGTGGGTTATTCAATACGTCTGCTGATCGCCAGACAGACGAGGTTCTTTTATGTACTCACCCAGCTGTTAACTGTGTCCCGTAGCTCGATCGGTAGCGTACTCAGCTCACACACTGAGGTCCGGAGTTCGAATCCCCGGTACGGCTGAAAAACATTAGTATGTGTTTCCATAAGACACCTGCTGTCCATGTTCACCCATCGGTAAAATGGGTACTTGGGTGTCAGTGGACTGGTGTGGGTCGCATCCTGGGTGTTAGTGGACTGGTGTGGGTCGCATCCTGGGTGTTAGTGGACTGGTGTGGGTCGCATCCTGGGTGTTAGTGGACTGGTGTGGGTCACATCCTGGGTGTTAGTGGACTGGTGTGGGTCGCATCCTGGGTGTTAGTGGACTGGTGTGGGTCGCATCCTGGGTGTTAGTGGACTGGTGTGGGTCGCATCCTGGGTGTTAGTGGACTGGTGTGGGTCGCATCCTGGGTGTTAGTGGACTGGTGTGGGTCGCATCCTGGGTGTTAGTGGACTGGTGTGGGTCGCATCCTGGGTGTTAGTGGACTGGTGTGGGTCGCATCCTGGGTGTTAGTGGACTGGTGTGGGTCACATCCTGGTGTTAGTGGACTGGTGTGGGTCACATCCTGGGTGTTAGTGGACTGGTGTGGGTCGCATCCTGGGTGTTAGTGGACTGGTGTGGGTCACATCCTGGGTGTTAGTGGACTGGTGTGGGTCGCATCCTGGGTGTTAGTGGACTGGTGTGGGTCACATCCTGGGTGTTAGTGGATATGTTAGTAGTATGTCACTGATGTCAGCTATGGTGTGTATACCTTGTACATGTACTGGTAGTAAATAAAGATATTATTATTATTATTATTATTATTATTATTATTATTATTATTATTATTATTATTATTATTATTATTATTATTATTATTATTATTATTATTATTAATTATTATTATTATTATTATTATTATTATTATTATTATTAATTATTATTATTATTATTATTATTATTATTATTATTATTATTATTATTATTATTATTATTAATTATTATTATTATTATTATTATTATTATTATTATTATTATTATATAAACTGCGTAACCATTTTCAATAAGTATAATAAAAGTAACATTATTAATGGCGATAAGTTGAAGACTAAGTCACAGTTCTTAGATAAGTTTAACACTAGAACTCTCCGGCAGCACAACAGTCGGAGTTCTCCAGGCTAATACAGCACTGGAAGCCACAGAGGCAGTGATACGATCAGTCCCTCACCCTCGGTGGGAACCTGGTGGGTGGGTGAAGCACTGACCTGGAGGTTGACCTGTGTACCACTGACCTGGTGGTTGACCTGTGTACCACTGACCTGGTGGTTGACCTGTGTACCACTGACCTGGTGGTTGACCTGGGTAGTACTGACCTGGTGGTTGACCTGTGTACCACTGACCTGGTGGTTGACCTGGGTAGTACTGACCTGGTGGTTGACCTGTGTACCACTGACCTGGTGGTTGACCTGGGTAGTACTGACCTGGTGGTTGACCTGTGTAACACTGACCTGGAGGTGGTTGAAGCACTGACCTGGAGGTTGACCTGTGTAACACTGACCTGGTGGTTGACCTGTGTAACACTGACCTGGAGGTTGATCTGTGTAACACTGGCCTGGTGGTTGACCTGTGTAACACTGACCTGGAGGTTGACCTGTGTAGCACTGACCTGGTGGTTGACCTGTGTAGCATTGACCTGGAGGTTGACCTCTGTAACACTGACCTGGAGGTTGACCTGTGTAACACTGGCCTGGTGGTTGACCTGTGTAACACTGACCTGGTGGTTGACCTGTGTAACACTGACCTGGAGGTTGACCTGTGTAGCATTGACCTGGAGGTTGACCTGTGTAACACTGACCTGGAGGTTGACCTGTGTAGCATTGACCTGGAGGTTGACCTGTGTAACACTGACCTGGAGGTTGACCTGTGTAGCACTGACCTGGAGGTTGACCTGTGTAGCACTGACCTGGAGGTTGACCTGTGTAACACTGACCTGGTGGTTGACCTGTGTAACACTGACCTGGAGGTTGACCTGTGTAGCACTGACCTGGAGGTTGACCTGTGTAGCACTGACCTGGAGGTTGACCTGTGTAACACTGACCTGGTGGTTGACCTGTGTAACACTGACCTGGAGGTTGACCTGTGTAGCACTGACCTGGTGGTTGACCTGTGTAGCATTGACCTGGAGGTTGACCTCTGTAACACTGACCTGGAGGTTGACCTGTGTAACACTGACCTGGTGGTTGACCTGTGTAACACTGACCTGGTGGTTGACCTGTGTAACACTGACCTGAAGGTTGACCTGTGTAACACTGACCTGGTGGTTGACCTGTGTAGCATTGACCTGGAGGTTGACCTGTGTAGTACTGACCTGGAGGTTGACCTGTGAAGCACTGACCTGGAGGTTGACCTGTGAAGCACTGACCCAAAGGTTTAACTGTGTAACACTGACCTGGAGGTTGACCTGGGGCAGCACTGACCTGAAGGTTGACCTGGGTCAGCACTGACCAGAAGGTTGACCTGGGTCAGCACTGACCAGAAGGTTGACCTGTGTAACACTGACCTGGAGGTTAACCTGTGTAACACTGACCTGGAGGTTAACCTGTGTAACACTGACCTGGAGGTTAACCTGTGTAACACTGACCTGGAGGTTAACCTGTGTAACACTGACCTGGAGGTTAACCTGTGTAACACTGACCTGGAGGTTAACCTGTGTAACACTGACCTGGTGGTTGACCTGTGTAGCATTGACCTGGAGGTTGACCTCTGTAACACTGACCTGGAGGTTGATCTGTGTAACACTGACCTGGAGGTTGACTTGTGTAGTACTGACCTGGAGGTTGACCTGTGAAGCACTGACCCGAAGGTTTAACTGTGTAACACTGACCTGGAGGTTGACCTGGGGCAGCACTGACCTGAAGGTTGACCTGGGTCAGCACTGACCAGAAGATTGATCTGGGTCAGCACTGACCAGAAGGTTGACCTGTGTAACACTGACCTGGAGGTTAACCTGTGTAACACTGACCTGGAGGTTAACCTGTGTAACACTGACCTGGAGGTTAACCTGTGTAACACTGACCTGGAGGTTGACGTGGGTAGCCGGGTGCTGCAGTAAGCAAGCAACAACAGCCTCGTGGCCCCGCCAAGCAGCGTACATGAGGGCACTCTCCCCATGATTGTTCTGCCAGTTGACGTCAGCACCAGCGTTGAGAAGAGACGTCACCCCAGGGACGTCACCGACGTCTGCCGCTGCCACCAGCTGCTCCTCTGACGGCACAACAACAAACTCACTACCATAAATTTTAGTGGAATATACAAATTAAATCTTTATTGAATTATTTATTTCAACTGATATTTAATAACAGTCTTTCTCTCTCTAACTTTATAGATTCTTATCTAATTATCACTGGTTTCTGTCTTATTCTATCACGATGTATGTGTTGTTCCATTGTTTTTATCTGTGATGGATGTGCTGTTCCACCGTTTCTTTCTATAATGGTTGTCATGTCAGTGACTCTGGTCTGTAGTTTAATGCTACTTGTCTGTCTACTTAAATATTGGGACTACATTTGCTGTCTTCCACAGGTAGTTGCCCTGTTTCGATAGATGTGTTGAAGATTGTTGTTAGTGGCACACACAGCATCTCTGTTCCCTCTCTCAGGACCCACAGAGATGTTGTCCAGTCCCATCGTCTTTAAGGTATCTAGTTCATTAAGCAGCCTCTTCACCTCCTCGGTTGTGTGTAATGTGTCCAGCACTTGTTGGTGTACCCTTCCATCCCGGTTTGCTGGAGTCCTTTCTGTCTCCACTGAAAATATTTTTTTTAAATCTTGTGTTGAGTTCTTCACATACTTCTTGGTCATTTCTGGTGATCTCCCTTCCTTCATTTTTTAGCCTGTTTACCTGGTCCTTCTGATGAGGCTGTACACCAGCTTTGGGTCAGATCTGGCTTTCGATGCCATGTCATTTTCGTATTGCCGCTGGGCCTCCTTTCTCATCCATGCATACTCGTTCGTGGCTCTACAGCTAATCAACTAATTTTCCTGGGTCCTTTGTCTTCTATACTTTTTTCCATTCTCTTACACACTTAGTTTTTGCCTCGCCATTAAGTGAATCAAGGGCTTGTTCTGGTCTTCCCATTGTTTCTGTTGCCCTTGGGTACAAACCTCTCCTCTGCCTCCTTGCATTTTGTGGTCATGTATTCCATCATTTCATTTATTGTTTTTCCCACCAGTTCTCTTTCCCACTGTATCTCATGCAGGAAATTCCTCATGCCTGTGTAGTCCTCTCTTTTGTTATTTGGCTTCTCCCATCCTACTCATGCTACTTCACTCTCCACTTATAACTCTACAATGTATTTGAAGCTAAGGACCATGTAATCACTAGCTCCAAGGGACCTCTCATATGCGATGTTTTTTATGTCTGAACTACTTAAGGTGGATACGAGGTCCAATCTTGATGGCTCATCTTAATGTGTTGGTACATGAGGTTTTCCAGTACCACCTCCATCATCTTAGCTCTCCACGTTTCTGGTGCCCCATAGGGATCCAGGTTTTTCCAGTCAATCTCCTTGTGATTGAAATCACCCACAACTACTAAGTTCATCATACTTTTGTCTTGGCCTCCTGCTATTCAGTGGTGGGTTGTACATCACTGCAATCACCACCTTGGTATCCCCAGTCTGAAGTGTTCCTAATATGTAGTCCCTTGCTTCCCTTTTGTCCATTCCTTCCATCTCTCAATTCTCCGTTGGATTTTGATGAGCAGTGTAACTCCTCCCTCTCTGTTCCCTCTGTCATTCCTCAAGATCTGATATCCAGATTGGAAGATCGCATCTGTTATCATCCCTTTGTTCCATGAGCAATATGATATCTGGAGATGCCCCCCATTATTCTTTCATGCCACTCCTCACATTTATTTTTATTCCACTTGCATCATCTTCTTTTCCATTATTGTGTTTTGGAGGTTTGTGGGAGATAGGAGAGTGGGTGACCTGGCAGGATACTATGACAAGCTGCTGTGAAGGTGGAATTTGTGATGGGAGAGTATGGGTGTGGAGTGTGGGATGTTTTGGGTTAATTTGTTTGGTTGTGGTGGGGTTGTCAGGGTTGAGGGTGTTCTGTGGATAGTTCTAAGGGAGGCTGTGTTAGTTTGTCCTCTTGAGTCTGGGTTTCCCTTTCCATTTCTATCCTTGACTCTCTTTCCTGCCCCTTTGTGTCTTTGTATCCTCTCAGTTTCTGTCGTTCTTCATGTGTTTTGTAGTGGTCAAGGTACACCCACTTGTAATTTGATGAACTCCTTAATTGTGGTTTCTGCTGCAGGATCCTGTTTTGCACTGTTTCTTACTAGAAAATCAATATGACTCTATAATTTCTTCCCCTTGAATATCCTCCTATTCACCGAAAATATGTCAGCTGGGACATGTCCTCGTCTCCTGTCTCTTTCATATTTTGAGTCTCTTTTTCCTTCCCCTGTCGTCTTTCTTTACATGTTGCCCCTTCATCCTCCTGAAGCCCATGAACAAAGATTGACCTCTCCCTTTCATCTTCCCATTGCATCTCCCTTCATATCTCAGGGCCCGATATAGGCATCTCCATTGCTCCTTTCCTTAACATTTCCTGGATCTCTTGACAGCATGATAGTGCCTCTGCAGGGGACCTATCTCCTTCCCTTCCTTCAGTCCCCCCCCCCTCTGTCTGCTGTCCCTGTGTGTGCATGTGTGTGTGTGTGAGTGTACTCACCTAAGTGTGGTTGCAGGAGATCGACTCATGGCCCCACCTCTTCACTGGTCACTACTAGGTCACTCTTTCCCTGCTCCATGATCTTTTTATCATACCTCTTCTTGAAACTATGCTTGGATCCTGCCTTTGCTACATCACTTTCCAGAATATTCCACTTCGTGACAACTCTGTGACTGAAGAATTACTTAAATCCCTGTGACTCATCTGAGTCTTTAATTTACAATAGCAACCACTTGTTGCTGTGCCCCATCTCTGGAACATCCTATCTCTGTTCATCTTGTCGATTCCTCTCAGAATTTTGTATGTTGTTATCATGTCATCCCTATCTATCCTGTCCTCCAGTGTCGTCATATCAATTTCCCTTAACCGCTCCTCGTAGGACACGTCCCTTAGCTTGGCCAGGCGTGGGTTCCAAACTGATGCTGCGTACTCCAATGTAGGCCTAACGTACACGGTGTTCAGAGTCCTGAACGATTCCTTATTGAGATGTCGGAATGCTGTTCTCAGTTTTGCTAGTCGTTCATATGCTGCAGCAGTTATTTGGTCGATGTGGGCTTCTGGAGATGTGCTCGGTGTTTTCCTCACTCCAAGATCCTTTTCCTTGAATGAGGTTTGTAGTGTTTGTAGTTTGCAGTGTGTGTGTGTGTGTGTGTGTGTGTGTGTGTGTGTGTGTGTGTGTGTGTGTGTGTGTGTGTGTGTGTGTGCGTGTGCGTGTGTGTGTGTGTGTGTGTGTGTGTACTCACTTAATTGTGGTTGCAGGGGTCGAGACTCAGCTCCTGGCCCTTCCTCTTCACTGACCGCTACTGGGTCCTCCCTTTCCCTGCTCCATGAGCTTTACCATACCTCGTCTTAAAACCTTGAATGTTTCCTGCCTCCACTACATCACTTGCCAGACTATTCCACTTCCTAACGACTCTGTGGCTGAAGAAATACGTCCTAACATCCCTTTGACTCATCTGAGTCTTCAACTTCCAATTGTGGTCCCTTGTTTCTGTGTCCCATCTCTGTCTTTGTCCACCTTATCTATTCCACACAGTATTTTATATGTCATTATCATGTCGCCCCTAACCCTCCTGTCCAGTATCGTCAGACCGATTTCCCTCAACCTTTCTTCATAGGACATTCCCCTTAGCTCTGGAACTAGCCTTGTTGCAAACCTTCGCACTTTCTCTAATTTCTTGACGTGTTTGACCAGGAGTGGGTTCCAAACTGGTGCCGCGTACTCCAGTATGGGCCTGACGTACACAGTGTATGGAGTCTTGAACGATTCCTTACTGAGGTATCGGAATGCTATTCTCAGGTTTGCCAGGCGCCCATATGCTGCAGCAGTTATCTGGTTAATGTGTGCTTCCGGCGACATGTTCGGTATTAAACTCACCCCCAGATCTTTCTCCTTGAGTGAGGTTTCTAGTCTTTGGCCGCCTAGCCTATACTCTGTCTGCGGTCATCTTTGCCCTTCCCTGATCTTCATGACTTTGTATTTGGCGGGGTTAAATTCTAGGAGTCAGTTGCTGGACCAGGCATCCAGCCTGTCCAAGTCTCTTCATAGACCTCTCTGATCTGCATTTGAATTAATTCTCCTCATTAACTTCACATCATCTGCTAATAGGGACACTTCTGAGTCTATCCCTTCCATCATGTCATTCACATATACCAAGATTAGCACTGGTCCCAGGACTGACCCCTGTGGGACCCCGCTCGTCACAGGCGCCCACTGTGATACCTCATCACGAACCATGACTCGTTGTTGCCTCCCTGTTAGGTATTCTCTGATCCATTGCAGTGCCCTTCCTGTTATATGTGCCTGATCCTCTAGCTTCTGCACTAGTCTCTTGCGAGAAACTGTGTCGAAGGCCTTCTTGCAGTGCAAGAAAATGCAATCAACCCACCCCTCCCTTTCATGTCTTACTTCAGTTACCTTGTCATAAAACTCCAGTAGATTTGTGACACAGGATTTGCCTTCCATGAATCCGTGTTGGCTGTCGTTTATAACCTTGTTCTGTTCCAGGTGCTCCACCACTCTCCTACTGATAATCACCTCCGTGATTTTGCATACTAAACACGTCAGTGACACTGGTCTATAGTTTAGTGCTTCGTTTCTGTCTCCTTTCTTAAAGATGGGGGCTACAGTTTCAAGGGATGTGTTGAAGATTGTGGTAAGTGGCACACACAGTGTCTCTCTCCCACGGAGAGATGTTGTCTGGTCCCACCGCCTTTGAGGTATCAAAGTCACTTAGCAGCTTCTTCACCTCCTCCTCGGTTGTGTACCCTTCTGTTTTGTCTTCCCAGTGTCCCTTCTGCCTTCACTATAAATACTTTCTGAAATCTCGAGTTGAGCTCCTCACATACTTCTTGATCGTTTCTTGTGAGCTCCCCACCTTCTTTCCTCAGCCTGATTACCTGTGTGTGTGTGCGTGTGTGTGTGTGTGTGTGAGTAGCCAAGAAGGCGTGAATAGTGCAGGAAGTTTGGGGTTACTGTAAAACATTGGTGGACACGAACAGAATATACTGCAGATCACTCTCTCCTGTGAAACACAAACACAAACACACACACGTACGTACACACACACACACACACACACACACACACACACACACACACACACACACACACCTGGAGCTGAGTTTCGACCCCTGCAACCACAATTAGGTGAGTACACACACATACACAATATGCATGGAACCTGAGGAGAGGTTTGTACCCAAGGGTAGCAGAAATAACGAGAAAGCCAAGATGAGCCCATGGTCCACCCAAAGGTGCAGGGAGGCCAAAACCAAGTGTGCTAGAGAGTGGGAGAAGTATAGAAGGCAAAGGACCCAGGAGAATAAGGAGAGAAGTCTTAGAGCCAGAAATGAATATGTACAGGTAAGAAGGGAGGCCCAATGACAATATGAAAATGACATAGCAGCGTAAGCCAAATTTGACCTGAAGCTGTTGTACAGCCACATCAGGAGGAAAATGACGGTCAAGGACCAGGTAATAAGGCTGAGGAAGGAAGGAGGAGAGATCACAAGAAACGACCGAGAAGTATGTGAAGAACTCAACATGAGATTCAAAGAAGTGTTCACAGACTAGACAGCAGAGACTCCAGAAAGACGGAGAGGTGGGGTACACCATCAACTGTTGGACACAATACATACAACCGAGGAAGAAGTGAAGAGGCTTCTGAGTGAGCTAGGTACCTCAGAGGCAATGGGGCCAGATAACATCTCTCTATGGGTCCTGCGGGAGGGAGCAGAGGCGCTATGTGTACCACTAACAACAATATTCAACACATCTATCAAAACAGGGCGACTACCTGAGGTATGGAAGACAGCAAATGTGGTCCTAAGTTTTAAAAAAGGAGATACACACGAAGCATTAAACTACAGACCAGTGTCACTGACATGTATAACAATGCCAGAAGGACAATAAGGATGCTGGAAGAATGATAACAATGCTGGAAGAATGATAACAATGCTGGAAGAATGATAACAACGCTGGAAGAATGATAACAACGCTGGAAGAATGATAACAATGCTGGAAAAATTATAACAATGCTGGAAGAATGATAACAATGTTGGAAGGATGTTAACAATGCTGGAAGAATGATAGCAATGCTGAAAGAATGATAACAATGCTGGAAGGATGTTAACAATGCTGGAAGAATGATAGCAATGCTGAAAGAATGATAACAATGCTGGAAGGATGTTAACAATGCTGGAAGAATGATAGCAATGCTGAAAGAATGATAACAATGCTGGAAGGATGTTACCAATGCTGGAAGGATGTTAACAATGCTGGAAGAATGATAACAATGCTGGAAGAATTATAACAATGATGGAAGATTGATAACAATGCTGGAAGATTGATAACAATGCTGGAAGATTGATAACAATGCTGGAAGAATGATAACAATGCTGGAAGATTGATAACAATGCTGGAAGGATGTTAACAATGCTGGAAGAATGATAACTATGGTGGAAGGATGATAACAATGCTGGAAGGATGATAACAATGCTGGAAGGATGATAACAATGCTGGAAGGATGATAACAATGCTGTAAGAATGATAACAATGCTGGAAGGATGATAACAAGTCTGGAAGGTTGATAACAATGCTGGAAGGATAATAACAATGCTGGAAGGATGATAACAAGTCTGGAAGGTTGATAACAATGCTGGAAGGATAATAACAATGCTGGAAGGATAATAACAATGCTGGAAGAGTGATAACAATGCTGAAAGGATGATAAAAATGCTGGAAGGATGATAACAATGTTGTAAGAATTATAACAATGCTGGAAGATTGATAACAATGCTGGAAGATTGATAACAATGCTGGAAGATTGATAACAATGCTGGAAGATTGATAACAATGCTGGAAGATTGATAACAATGCTGCAAGATTGATAACAATGCTGGAAGAATGATAACAATGCTGCAAGATTGATAACAATGCTGGAAGATTGATAACAATGCTTGAAGATTGATAACAATGCTGGAAGATTGATAACAATGCTGGAAGATTGATAACAATGCTGGAAAAATTATAACAATGCTGGAAGATTGATAACAATGCTGGAAGATTGATAACAATGCTGGAAGAATGATAACAATTCTGGAAAATTGATAACAATGCTGGAAGATTAATAACAATGCTGGAAGAATAATAGTAATGCTGGAAGATTGATAACAATGTTGGTAGATTGATAACAATGCTGGAAGATTGATAACAATGCTGGAAGATTGATAACAATGCTGGAAGATTGATAACAATGCTGCAAGATTGATAACAATGCTGGAGGATTGATAACAATGCTGGAAGATTGATGACAATGCTGGAAGATTGATAACAATGCTGGAAGAATGATAACAATTCTGGAAGATTGATAACAATGCTGGAAGATTAATAACAATGCTGGAAGAATAATAGCAATACTGGAAGATTGATAACAGTGCTGGAAGACTGATAACAATGCTGGAAGATTGATAACAATGCTGGAAGATTGATAACAATGCTGGAAGATTGCGCTTTAATCATGTCCAAAAGAGGATTAACTTGTGTTAGAGAAGAAAAGATCATCTGTACCAGTATATAAATACTTTCAGTAACGTTACTCAGTCAGGTTAAGCATTACTGGCTGTAGCCAGTAACTGGATGGTCATTCTTGTCCTGGACAAGAAGGACCACGCTGCAGTTGTTGACACACTTGACAAGTACTCACCCTTGGAGACAATACCGACGGTGGTGAGCACTCTCCTGAAGATGCTGTTCTTGGGCCTGTTGATGGAAGGGTCCCCTCGCAGGCCACCTCCACCAGTCACACCAGCGTTCATCATCCTGCTACTCTTCCTCTCCCTCTTTACCTCCTCCTCCTCCTTCTCCACCACCACCACCTCCTCCGGCACCTCCACTCTTAATCCTCCTCCTGCCCTTCACTACACGTCTTAACGAAAACTCTTTTCTCCTTCACACGTCTCAAAGTTAGCTTTCCCTCTGCCACTCGTCTCAAAATAAAAACTTTTGTTTTGCCAATAGTCAACTGCACCAGACTTTGGTCTACTTTTCTCTTAAGATAAACACAAGGAATAGGTTGATCTCTCTTCTTTAAGTGTTAAAATTTGACTCTCAAAATTACCGTGATAGTCACTGTGTGAACGTCACATTGAGACGTCATGTGTTCCAGTCTAACATAACAACACGTCACCGAGGTCGTCACAACAATATGTTAAACTGGAGGGTGGCACTACTGAAGGAACACTGTCATCATGACACCAAAACCTGACCACCATGCACTGGTAATGAATATTCCACAGGTGATGTAACTTTGTTTCTACTCAGAGGAAAAATACAACACTTCAACTGACACTTAAGGAAGAGCTTGTTTGAAGACAGATTGAGCACTGCATGACAGTCAACACTAAGCATGTAGCGTTACGTCTTAACTCTTCTTGATGTTGTGACTTTGAGGCAGCTGTGTGGGTGTTGGTGAGGGAGTGTTGATGTATTCTCAGAGGAGAGGGAAGGTGGTGCTTCTCACTATCACCTCTATTACTGCTTCTCTTATCACAGTGTCATACACAATATTTTAGACGTGTATCAGTTTGTTCCGACCCCTCCAATCTGCTCCATATTTTTCCCTGTCATATAGTCTCCTGCACAACAACTGTCACTCTCTCCCTACACAACGTGTTGTCTCTTCCTACCTCTACAAAGTGTTCATCTATCTGCCCAACAAACCTGTGTCATCTTCCTCCTTTACACAAGTGTTCATCTTCCTACCTACACAACGTGTGTCATCGTCTTCCCAACAATACCTGTGTAATCTTCTTGCCCAACACAAACCTGTCATCTTCCTGCACCTAACAATCTGTGTCATCTTCTACCACACTGTGTCATTTCCTACCGTAATCAACTTGTTTTCCTACCTACAAAGTGTGTCATTTCTTAGCAAACAACCTGTGTCATTTTTTGCCACACAACTGTGTCATCTTCTTGCCTAACAATTGGTCATCTTCCTACCCTACACAACCTGTGTATCTTCTACCCTAAACTCCTGTGTCATCTTCCTACCCTACACAACTGTGTCATCTTCTACCTACAGACCTGTGTGATCTTCCTCCCTACAGAATGGGTGTCATCTTCCACCTACACAACCTGTGCTATCTTCTACCTTAACAACCTGTGTCATCTTCTACCTACACAACCTGTGTCATTTTACCTACAAAACTGTGTCCTTCCTACCCTACACAACCTGTGTCCATCTTTCCTACACAACTGTTCATCTTCCTACCCTACACAACTTGTTCATCTTCCTACCCTACACAACCTGTGTCATCTTCCTCCCTACACAACCTGTGTCATCTTCCTACCCTACACAACCTGTGTCATCTTCCTACCCTACACAACCTGTGTCATCTTCCTACCCTACACAACCTGTGTCATCTTCCTACCCTACACAACCTGTGTCATCTTCCTACCCTACACAACCTGTGTCATCTTCCTCCCCTACACAACTTGTGTCATCTTCCTACCCTACACAACTTGTGTCATCTTCCTACCCTACACAACTTGTGTCATCTTCCTACCCTACACAACCTGTGTCATCTTCCTACCCTACACAACCTGTGTCATCTTCCTACCCTACACAACCTGTGTCATCTTCCTACCCTACACAACCTGTGTCATCTTCCTACCCTACACAACTGTGTCATCTTCCTACCCTACACAACCTGTGTCATCTTCCTACCCTACACAACCTGTGTCATCTTCCTACCCTACACAACTTCAAGCGACACTACACAGGAATGACGGAGCAAGTGCCTGGATGACAGTTAAGGACTCTTGATCCAAGGAAGTAGAGTCATCCTCCCCTTCCATGGATCAAACCTAATTGCCTCCTCTTTTGCATATGATCAATGATCATTATGGGTTTAATTATTCCTCAAGAAACTAGCAATAATAATCTCCTCTTTACTTCCCTCACTAATTCTCTTCTTCCTCCCTCCTCTCTCTATGCCTTTCACAACCGTCCTTCTCTTTCTCCTTTTCTAAACGCCTTCTTCAGCTACACTATAAACATAGAAGTGTCCAGCAGGTCAGTGGTGAGACCTGTTGTGTTACAGCCTCAACATTCCTGGTTCGGATCTCTGGCTGAGGAGACGTGTGTGTAAGTTTATTATCACACTGATGCCTCGGTCTACCAAGCGGTCCATGATATAATTCTCTTGTTCGCTTTAAAATAAATGGGTACCTGAGCGTTAGTCGACTGATATAGGTAGCATCCTGGGGTGTTGTAGTATAACTTAGATATCGCTGGGCTTCTAGACAGGCTGAAGATAACAGTTCTTAACGTAACTGTCACAGACGTTGATCAACACTAGACCTACCTCACCCTCCCCTTTTTCCTTCCCTCTCTCCCTCCCTACTATCCTCTCTCCCTCCCTACTATCCTCTCTTCCTCGCTACTATCCTCTCTCCCTCCCTACTAACCTCTCTCCCTCCCTACTATCCTCTCTCCCTCCCTACTATCCTCTCTCCCTCGCTACTATCCTCTTTCCCTCGCTACTATTCTCTCTTCCTCCTTCCCTCTCTCCTTCCCGTGCAGTATTTAAGGGTTCTGGTATAAAGTCGTACAGTATTTAAGGGTTCTGGTATAAAGTCGTACAGTATTTAAGGGTTCTGGTATAAAGTCGTACAGTATTTAAGGGTTCTGGTATAAAGTCGTACAGTATTTAAGGGTTCTGGTATAAAGTCGTACAGTATTTAAGGGTTCTGGTATAAAGTCGTACAGTATTTAAGGGTTCTGGTATAAAGTCGTACAGTATTTAAGGGTTCTGGTATAAAGTCGTACAGTATTTAAAGGTTCACTGAACTCGTGAAAATTAAAAGTCATAAAATCTGTAGTTTCCAATATTTCCTCGTTTTTTTTTTTTTTGCAGTTATGCTCTGTTTAAGTATCTCTCAATCCAAAAAGAAAAAAAAATATTTATTTCGTGAATGTTAAGTACAGACACAAACTGAATGACACACTGCAGACGTGGCATCGTTTTTATTAACACGGAAATATGTACTATTGCTAAAACTATGACCTTAGGCATATTCATGGAGAGTAGGCCTATCACCTCGATAACATTTATTTACTGTGTATAGCGTCTAACATCACAACTTTGGGCTTATACTTATTAATATGCTGTTTACAGTAGATAAAACCATAACATTAGGCCTCACAGTTGGATGACATAAACAAGTGCCAGATTGCAAGCGTATCCCAGGTACGGAGACTGAGTTCATTAAGTCTACATTAAGTCTACATTAAGTCTACATTAAGTTTAACATTAAGTCTACATTAAGTCTAACATTAAGTCTACATTAAGTCTAACATTCACTGACAGGCAAGTTCTTCTTATGTAACACGACATCAAAGATCATGAACAGCCTTGTAACCTTCCATGTTGTCTGCTGGTGGTGTTTAGTCCGACCTTCTACCATGTTGTCTGCTGGTGGTGTTTAGTCCGACCTTCTACCATGTTGTCTGCTGGTGATGTTTAGTCCGACCTTCTACCATGTTGTCTGCTGGTGGTGTTTAGTCCGACCTTCTGCCATGTTGTCCACTGGTGGTGTTTAGTCCGACCTTCTACCATGTTGTCTGCTGGTGGTGTTTAGTCCGACCTTCTACCATGTTGTCTGCTGGTGGTGTTTAGTCCGACCTTCTACCATGTTGTCTGCTGGTGGTGTTTAGTCCGACCTTCTACCATGTTGTACACTGGTGGTGTTTATTCCGACCTTCTACCATGTTGTACACTGGTGGTGTTTAGTCCGACCTTCTACCATGTTGTCCACTGGTGGTGTTTAGTCCGACCTTCTACCATGTTGTCCACTGGTGGTGTTTATTCCGACCTTCTTCCATGTTGTCCAGTGGTGGTGTTTATTCCGACCTTCTACCATGTTGTCCAGTGGTGGTGTTTATTCCGACCTTCTACCATGTTGTCCAGTGGTGGTGTTTAGTCCGACCTTCTACCATGTTGTCTGCTGGTGGTGTTTAGTCCGACCTTCTACCATGTTGTACACTGGTGGTGTTTTTCCGACCTTCTACCATGTTGTCCACTGGTGGTGTTTATTCCGACCTTCTACCATGTTGTCCAGTGGTGGTGTTTGTGTCCGACCTTCTACCATGTTGTCTGCTGGTGGTGTTTAGTCCGACCTTCTACCATGTTGTACACTGGTGGTGTTTATTCCGACCTTCTACCATGTTGTCCAGTGGTGGTGTTTATTCCGACCTTCTACCATGTTGTCCAGTGGTGGTGTTTAGTCCGACCTTCTACCATGTTGTCCACTGGTGGTATTTATTCCGACCTTCTACCATGTTGTCCAGTGGTGGTGTTTATTCCGACCTTCTACCATGTTGTCCACTGGTGGTGTTTATTCCGACCTTCTACCATGTTGTCCACTGGTGGTATTTATTCCGACCTTCTACCATGTTGTCCACTGGTGGTATTTATTCCGACCTTCTACCATGTTGTCCACTGGTGGTGTTTATTCCGACCTTCTACCATGTTGTCCACTGGTGGTATTTATTCCGACCTTCTACCTGTTGTCCACTGGTGGTATTTATTCCGACCTTTCTACCATGTTGTCCACTGGTGGTGTTTAGTCCGACCTTCTACCATGTTGTCCACTGGTGGTATTTATTCCGACCTTCTACCATGTTGTCCACTGGTGGTATTTATTCCGACCTTCTACCATGTTGTCCACTGGTGGTATTTATTCCGACCTTCTACCATGTTGTACACTGGTGGTGTCCACACTAAAAGCACCAAAGTGTTGTAAAAGTATCTAATTCATCATCATCTAGTCTTCCGAGATCAGTTATAAATGGTACTAACTGTTAACACAAAAATCCCAGGATAGGTACACACTTAGAAATCACAGCAATAGTTATATTAATTACGATACTAAATCAATCACAGACTATAACACAATATTAATAAGAAATTTACTGTCTTTAGTTATGATGTATAATATTTGTTTTTAAATAAAAATATAAATAATATTTGTAAAGCATGTAAATCTAAGATAATGGATAACAGTGAAGAAGGTAGCTGGCTGTTCCTGTCTCGTGGTGCTTGACCTATCCAGGTCAAAGGTCGTCGTGTCGAGTCGTATTCAGGAAGTAACTTCTAGATCCTATTAAATATAATATATTCTTATTATTAAGCTCTGAAGTAAATATTAATGAGGGAGAAACTTAGAGAAGTTCACGTCTAACTTAAATAAGTTAGACGTGAAGTTTGAAGAACACAACGTAAGACTTTGTTGAATATTAAATAATGACGATAATAAATGTATATAGTAATCGTAATAAGATTAACAACAGAAAAATATTGTATTTGGTTCAGTAATAAATATATGGAACAGGTGAATATTAATGTTGATACGAGGACAACATTACAAAGCGTCATGTATCAGCAAGTTTATCACTGAAATACACTCGTCACTGTATCTAGATGCACACAACTATATTGATATTTTTTATGTTAACTAACAGACAAGCAAGTGTTAATATAATCTTGGTAAGCTGGTGACTTGACTCGTAGTGAGGAGAGTCACACAGATACTCTGGTCAATGTAGTTATAGTGGGTAGCCAGTAGAGTTATGATGGGTTGAAGTGGAATGGCAATCAACACACTGAGGTGTGGGTGTGGTAGAGTGCCAGGGATGCCACACCCGTCCACAGCCCCATCAACACACTGAGGTGTGGTGTGGTAGAGTGCCAGGGATGCCACACCCGTCCACAGCCCATCAACACACTGAGGTGTAGGTGTGGTAGAGTGCCAGGGATGCCACACCCGTCCACAGCCCCATCAACACACTGAGGTGTAGGTGTGGTAGAGTGCCAGGGATGCCACACCCGTCCACAACCCCGTCAACACACTGAGGTGTAGGTGTGGTAGAGTGCCAGGGATGCCACACCCGTCCACAGCCCCATCAACACACTGAGGTGTAGGTGTGGTAGAGTGCCAGGGATGCCACACCCGTCCACAGCCCCATCAACACACTGAGGTGTAGGTGTGGTAGAGTGCCAGGGATGCCACACCCGTCCACAACCCCGTCAACACAAGATCTCCTACACTTCTGTAATATACAAACCACATTAACAACATTTCTGAATGATGTTTATAACATGTTTACAACATGTCAGCTTCATACACTCTCAATGTTCATTTTGTTCATAAAATAATTATACCAAATGTTGTTCAGATATTATTACATAAAGATTAATATTTTTATATACATGATTAACAGTTATACAGCAGTAGTTGTAGACTTTATTATATGCAAAAAATATAAATAATAAGCCCAGCTTACTTTTCGTGTTTGTACAACTGAGGTTGTGAATGTTGATGATTGTTGTGTAAGATGACTGGTGTTCCAATGCTGGAAGTAACCTGAACACAAACATAATTATAATGTATATAAAAGGAGGTTAAAAAGCTGCGATAGATGACATTAAAACTGAGATTTTAGTTTCAGAAAGATTGGTGTAATTATTCAACATACTCGTGAGAAAATTGGCAGAAAATATCCATAGATGGTTTGTACAAGGGAGAAAAAGAAAGTAAGAATTATAGGGAAATAAGTTACTTGATTATACCAGATAAAGTGTGCAATAGAAATACTCTTAAAGGAGTTACTGGTAACATAGAAAGTTGGAAAGGAACGAGGATTTAGGAAGGGAAGGAGGATGTGTAGAATAAGTATATATGACTTAGGTTAGGGAATGTAAGAGGGAGATATAAACAATTTTCCTTAAAACGTAGGTCAGACTTGGATGTGTGGTGTCACAATGATTATTTAATGTGTTATAAATAGTATTGTAGAATAACTGAATGTTTGAATGTCGAGAAGGAGTGTGCCATTATAGATGAATTATTATAATTGTCCTTTGCTGATGACAGTTATTTTGAGAGATTCTGAAGAAAAGTTGTAAAGTGAACATAGAGCAGAACAAGGTAATGAGAATAACAAAAAAAATATTGGCACTGAAATATTATATATCAAATTAAAGCTAGATAGTTCGAAGGAGTGAATGTATCTAGAATTTGCAAGTGGTAGTCAGTAAATGTGGGGCTGATAGTGCTGTCCTGGGAGACAGTAATGGTGAAGCTGGAGGTGCTGTCCTGGGAGACAGAAATTGTGAAGCTGGAGGTGCTGTCCTGGGAGACAGAAATGGTGAAGCTGGAGATACTGTCCTGGGAGACAGTAATGGTGAAGCTGGAGGTGCTGTCCTGGGAGACAGAAATTGTGAAGCTGGAGGTGCTGTCCTGGGAGACAGAAATTGTGAAGCTGGAGGTGCTGTCCTGGGAGACAGAAATGGTGAAGCTGGAGATACTGTCCTGGGAGACAGTAATGGTGAAGCTGGAGATACTGTCCTGGGAGACAGTAATGGTGAAGCTGGAGGTGCTGTCCTGGGAGACAGTAATGGTGAAGCTGGAGGTGCTGTCCTGGGAGACAGTAATGGTCAAGCTGGAGATTTTGTCCAGGTAGTCGGGAATTATACGCAGGAAGGAATACATATAAATGACCTCATAGGGGACAGGAGCCATAGTAGGGAAACAAGTGTAGTCAAAGATAAGATAAAACCAATATTGCAAACTAGAAATACCGCAGGAAATAGCAAACAAGAGGACTCCAATAGCAATACTGAGGATAAATTACCAAAAACAACTGGTGGGAGCTCCATTGTTGGTGCTAGGGAGGATAGAAGTAAGACAGGGAAACATGCACCAACAGGGAATACAGTCACAGAAACCCAAGGCAAGCGGAAACCAAGCCTGTGCACATACTATGCACTTGGTATCTGCTGGCATGGGAAATCTGGAAAAACAGATGGGACATGCAACTATGACCACCCTAGAAATGCCATGCCCATATGACAACAGGAAAATGCAAACTCCCTTCCTGTAAGCTTTTTCACCCTGAAATGTGTACCTCTTCAGTACAGGAAAGACTGTGCTATAACTTAAATTGCCAGGCATACCATCTAAAGGGGACAAAAAGATACAAAACATCCAGGCCATGGGAAAACCTGGGTAGCCACAGCCACTCAAGAGGGAGAGGTTTTTTAGTGCCAGGAAGGAAAAAAAACTGGCAGGAAATGGCAGAAATTGTACACCAAATCCAGTCATTCCTGGAGTGGAACCACAGTCGATGGCCTCCACTCCAAACCAACAGATACAGATACTAATGCCGGAAAAAAAATCCCCCCCCCAATACCAACAATACCACCAGTCCGATAACATTCTTCTTTGCAAATATACAGGGTCTAAAGCCAGCAACAAACAACAAAATACCTTTCATCCGTGGACTGCTTGCAGAGGCAAAGGCAATGTTCGCGGCTTTCACTGAGACCCACATAAAGGATCACTTGGACAACGAAATATGGATCCCAGGTTACAACCTATACAGATGTGACAGAGTGAACAGGCAAAAGGGGGGGGTTGGCCTGTACATTGCAGAGTCACTTGTTTGCACAGAACTGCTTAATGCCTCAAATGATGTAGTGGAAGTTTTAGCAGAAAAGGTCGAGAACCAAAACCTAGTCATTGTGGTAGTCTACAAGCCTCCGGATGCAACATCCCAGCAATTCCAGGAACAGCTGTTAAAAATTGACCACTGACTGGAAAATCTTCCAGCTCCTGCACCCAACATCTTGCTCCTGGGGGATTTCAACTTAAGGCACCTAAAATGGAGGAATATAGCAAATAATATTGTTGCAGTAATAACACCAGGAGGCAGCTCTGATGAAAACTCACACTCACACGAGCTTTTAAATCTCTGCACAAAATTCAATTTAAACCAGCAAATAATAGAGCCTACTAGACTGGAGAATACACTAGACCTCATCTTCACTAACAATGATGATCTGATAAGAAATGTCACCATATCAAAAACAATATACTCAGATCACAACATAATTGAGGTTCAGACATGTATGCGTGGAGCCCCAGACCGACAAAATGAGACTATTCACGAGGGAGCATTCACCAAATTCAACTTCAATAACAAAAACATAAAGTGGGACCAAGTAAACCAAGTCCTAACCGATATAAGCTGGGAAGATACACTAAGCAACACAGACCCCAACTTATGCCTAGAACAGATTAACTCGGTGGCACTCGATGTATGCACAAGGCTTATTCCTCTAAGAAAAAGGAGGAGTAGATGTAAAATAGAAAGAGACAGGCGCTCCCTTTACAGGCGACGGAAAA